GAAGCAAATAATACCTTATATGTTAATTTAAAAATACTATAAGTAACAAATGAGCTAACAACAAGCATTAACTTGAATTTTCTGACATTAACACTGAAAATCTCAAGTAAAACAACAAAAACAACAAAAAAAAATGATTTCAAAATCATTTGAAAATGAACACCATAAGAAAGTGATAGATGTCCTGTGTGTTACATAATTCTTACTCAGTTTAGCTATCGGGAGCAACATTGAAATAGTGAAGAATTTTAAGATTATGACATAAAAACCAGCTCAAAGAAAGATTCTACAACAAAGATAATTGCCATGTATAAATCATCAATTATTCTCTAATGAAGTTTTCCAAGATTAAATAAATGAAGGCAGTTACACACTGAAATCAGCCATGTTTCAAAATTAAAATGATGTGAACAACTGAATACATGTCTTCAAAAGGTAAATTTCGTCATTTGCTTTTGATGAAGTGGATTTCTGAAGATTGAATTTGAATCTAAAATAGCCTCAATTTATAAATACATTATTTTCATCTGTTCCAATTTTGGATGTTACTTATATCCTTGAAGAAAAAGAAAAGAGATTAAAGGACTCTACACTCAGAAGTAAAGCAGAGAGGAGCGGACAACAACTGTGCAATGCTATCTTTGTAGAGGATCCCTTCCTGGGAAATGGGCTTAAATCAATAACCACTTTGCAACCAAATTCTTTCTTGGATCACTTGAGTATCTTGTAGAGTAGTTAAAGCCTAAATCCCTTAGGCACACACTAGCTGATGAAAAACTGAGTATAAGTTGGCAATTTTAATTTAGATGGTAGTGCTATACTTGAAAGTAAGAGTGTGACTGGGTTTTAGATATGTGTGTTCATCAGGATTGATAAATTATTTTGGCCTGGACTGTTTCAAGGCCACATAAAGGTAACTTGATGTGATTGTACAAGTTAATCTCTAGACATGTGGTAATCCTCCATGCTATCAGTCTGAGAAACCCCTAATTGACTGAATACCACAGGACAGTTATGTCCATATACAGAAAGAGGAGAGGGACACCTGGGTGGTTCAGTCAGTTAAATGTCTGCCTTCAACTCAGGTCCCCAGGGTCCCGGGATGGAGCCCTGCATGGGGCTCCCTGCTCAGCAGGAAGCCTGCTTCTCCCTCTGCCACCGCCCTCCGCCCCGCTTGTGTTCCCTCTCTCACTATGTCTCTCTCTCTCTCTGTCAAATAAATAAAATTCTTTAAATAAATAAATAGAAAGAGGAGAGCACAAGGGCTGATTTTCTAGAATCGCTTAGGGTGATAAGACAAGCACAGTGCTTCCCACTCTCTCCTTGCACATGTATGCACACACACAAGCACACACACCTGTGTTACTACTATTGTAAGGACCCACTACCATAAGTGCTGCCATCCTCTGTCACGTTAATACCTAAGGCAGCTTTCCCTGGAGCCTGATTGTTAGGACAAGAATCCCTCTTTAACTGATCTTTCCTACCAAAGCGGTGAGAAACCTATAACTTTAACACCCTTCTTTAATATAAATGCTTCTGCTTTCCTTCCAGCTAGATCTTGAGAGGAAAGGGAGCAGTCAATAAAGCTATTGTTTTAATCTACACCCTTCTTTGATTTTATGTTCTTTGTAAAGGTCCCTAATCTAGAGAAAAATGAACTTGATTCGCTCTCTTAGAACCAAGAAATTAGCATTTTCCAGGTCATATACTCTGGAAGGGTCATATACTCTGAGAAGAATTGTTCAGAATTTTAAACTTCTTAACTTTCTTTCAATGGATAGGCTCCACATGTGAAAAAAAAAATCATTCATTTTGAGAAATGGAAAAAAGAAAAGAAAAGAAAAGAAAAAAGATCATAAGATACCAGGAAATAGCCATAAACAACACGCTTAACTTTTGTCTAAGATTTTTTTTTTAAGATTTACTTATCTGAGAGAGAGAGAGAGCAGAGGCAGAGGAAGAGAGAGAGAGAATGTCAACAGACTCCACGGTGAGTGGGGACCTGATATGGGACTCAATCCCAGTACTCTGAGATCATGACCTGAGCCTAAATGAAGATTCAGCCAGTCTCTTAATCAGCTGAGCCACCAGGTGCCTCTAAGATTGTTTTCTGTTTGATAGCTCATGCTATCTCCATCCTACTGAAGTAAGAAGGATTTATAAACTAATATAATGGATAAATTAGATATTCATATTTGATATTGTAGAGGAAAGACATGAACAATAAAACATTTTACTTATACTAAGAAGCTCAAAAGTTAGTAATGATTATTTTTCATTTAACTCCATTTATTTAATAAAACCTAAAGAAAATATTGAAATGCTTACTAATTACAAAAATTTCAACAATCCATTAGAAGACTCTCTTAACTTCTTAAAGCAAATTATGTCACTTCTCCCCTGTAGCCCTTATCTCCCTCAACTGTAAAATAACGGGAAAGAAGCAGCTGATATAACATTCTAACACAGTTCAAAATATTATTATATTTCTCATTAGGTAAGTTGAAAAAGAATAAAATTGGACACTCCAGCTCTATTCTTAAAAATTTGCTCCATGACAATGTATCTGATGTTTTCACCTCATTTTGTATTCATATACTGGGAATAACAGCATTTCACACAGAACTGCTGTGATGTCATGCTAATGGTACAAGTTACATGAATGGAATCATGTTAAAATGGAACACAAAAATAATAATATCTAAAATATACTGAGCACATTATATATGGAAGACTCAAAGTTCTCAAAATGATGCCTGGCATATAGATAGAGCTCAACATATCTTTAGCCATTATCAATTCATTTAATCTTTACCACAATGTAAGAAGTAAGTACTATTACCATAGTAATTAACATGTATGCCTAAATTGAGGAACAACAAGGTCATGTATGTTATCCAAGATCATAAGCTAAGGAAGGCCACAATCAAACAAAAGCAATGTAGTTCCCAGAAATAATCTCTTAGTAATGCTGTATATTACCTCTGGCTGTGGAAAGGGTATGAAGGAAACTTAATCTTCATTACTTGTGACCATACCATTTTACAAGAATTCCCCTAGAGTGATCATCCTCTAAAATACCAACCATCCCACTAAGTAAAAAAGCATATGTAAAAATAAAGTACAACATTTTTCAAAGGACTGCATGTTAAATCTAGGATTAAACAAGATACAGGAACCAGGCTAGAGCTATTATTTCCACTTTTTTTCCAGATAAAAATACTGAATTTAAAAGATCCTTCGTAATTTTATTGAGACTCCTTTATAACTAGGTCTTCTGACTCTAAGTCCCATGATTTTGCAACAACCTATGCTGCCCTATCACATATAACTTCTACTTGTATTTGTTAATATATGAGAGACTGACTCCTCATGTAAATTAATGTGTTACCTAATTTTACATGAGGTAGACCCCTATCTTTATTACACAACATACCTAAACTTCTTTCAAATCCAGGAAACATATATCCAAGTTGCAATCTATTCAATGTAGACAAGGAAAATTGAAATAATTATCAACATACATCTCAGTTGACTTCCTGAAATATGTATTTTCAAAATACAAAACCACAACATCAAACATATTAATTCAGAATATAGAAGTTGGATATCTTTTAGCACTAATAAATATGGTGGCAAAAAATGACTGTGTAAATAATCTTATGAATTGAGCAAAAGTAAAAATAAAACATCTCATTGCTGATTTCATTTCAAAAGTGTATTCTCATATTTCACATATAGTTAAATTACCTAATTAGTTATTTTAAAATAGTTTTACTTTTCATCTAGAGTGGTGAGTAATCAGAGAGTCAAAGTTTTAGAAAAATAATGAATGATATCTATATATACTCTAATCTTTCCGAATATAATCTTCATAGCTCTAGAACAGGGTGAAAATAGGTATGTATCCAAATGAATCAGCTCCCCCAGGATAGCAACTGAAGTTTTAAACATGAAACCTATTATAACATTGTTAAAATGTTGACTATTAAAGTTACCTGCAATTTATGAACAAAATAAATATTTTACAAAGAGAGACACTTACTTAGACATGCTAGAGGAACCTTCCCCCTCTCCTCACATCACTCCCCTCCATTTTGTAAAGAGAAAACCAAGACACAAAAATGGGATTAGCCCTTGCAAGGTTAATAGACATAATCACTTTAAAGGAAACTTACACCTTAAAAAAGAGAGCGAGGTGCACAACACGAAGTGGAGAACCAGCACCGCATATGGCTTCAGCAGAAAAGAATTTCACTTACTTGATTTTAGTTTAGGGTTTTGTTTTGTTTTGTTTTTTTCATTTAAATTTTTAATTTCGCAGGTCATTAAAAGGGCCTGATTTTCTTTCTTTCCCTCACTGGACCTTTCCTGAGGGACCCGGCTGGTTAAACCCAGTGCTAATTGGGACTTTCCAGTTCCAGCACCGAGGACAGAAATTGCTCATTTCCAGGGCGAAGCTACGCTCTTCGGAGGGCCAGAAGTCTACTGCTCCGACCAAGAAAGAAGAAAAGATACCTGGCTCGCCAGCCACTTGTTTAAAAGTCCCCTCTCCTGCTGAACGCACCAGCAACTTCTCAAGAGCAGACACTGAGCAACTCCAAGTCGCACGCCGCCCTTACAAGTCACAAGGAGAGAGCCGCGAGGAAGTGCGAAAGCAGGTCACTTTTTTATCAGCACCCCTCTGAAAGAGACCCGCGATTCCAGTGCTGGCTCTGCGCGAGAGCTAGAGCGTTCTACAAAGCGCAGATGGCTTCAGGGATTACGAGGGGGGAAAAAAAAAAAAAAAAAAAAACCAACCAAACGAACAAAAAAACACCCCCGAAGACAGAACGGGCGGCGGGGCCATTCTCTCGCCCCAGTGGGCAAACGCCTTCCTTCTACCGCTGACAGCGCAGAATAAAGGAGAGGGAGGCGCAGGGAGCCAGGAGGAGGAAGGGGTGGGGGCATGGGGGCATCTGCAGCGTCCTGGGGCTCAGGAAAGAACATTTTCTCACCACTTAGGCTGTTGCTGGACCTCAGGCTCCTTCCACAGAGACACTGCAGCATATGCACTCCTTTCTTCAAAGAAAGCTCAAGAATCTTCATGGAGAGGCGCGTGTGTGGGGTTCGTCAACTCCCCGCCCACCTCCGCTAATTGTCCAACCAAACGGCGGCCTGTCTTCGGCAGCCGGGTCCCGAGTCCATGGTGCGCGCGTCCCAGGTGGACAGGGAGCCGGAGCGCGGGGCAGGAGCGCGGCGGGCGCCCCGGCCGGGCAGGGAGCGAGGAGGAAGTGCCGCTCGGCTGGGGGCAACCCCGGGGGAGCCGGCGGCGAGACCACACCCCAGTAAGCTCGAACGTGACTCTTTGGGACTTCCCAAAGGAAGCGTCAGGGCCGCGGGCGGGAGGGTGAGTGGACGGGCCACGCGAGGGACGTCGCCGTGGGTCGGTGCCCCTTTCCAGGGGCCGGCGCCGGGAGGGACGAGGACAGGGTCCCGAGCCGGCCCTGGCCCTCTAGATCTGGCGGTGAGCCCGCGGCGCCCTCCCGTCCAGTGCCCGCACCGTGCAGGGTTGCGGGGCGCCGAAAAGGGCTTCGCGGGGCCCGGCGGAGCTAGCCCGGAAGGCAGCGCTCCCGCGGGCTGCGCGCCTGCCGAGGGCGACTCCGGCGTGGGAATCCGGCGGAAGGGAAGCGCCCGCAGGAAGGGCTGGACCCTGGAGGCTGCGGAGCGTCAGAAGCGACTCCAGGGAACCGGGGGGTGGAGGGGGGGTTGGGGGGCAGGGGGGTGTTAGGGAGGCGGGATGTGGAATAAAGAAAGCTCTTGGGTGCGGGCCAAGAGAGCGAAGGTGTGCCTGGGCACAGCGCGGATGTGGGAGTCTGGACACCTGGATTTTCTGATCAAGGCTCCGTGACCTTGGGTAAGTCACATACCACAATGGGCGCAGAGCGGGAGAGGGTGTGGAATAGAGAACTGCCAACTTCACGATTGACCCCTTGGTTTCCAGTCTCTTGAAAAAGCTTAGCACAAGTGCAGGGGGGTGGGGGGGTGGGGGGGCAGGGGCGAGGAGGGTGAGGGGGCTGAGAGGAGGAGGGGTTCGAGTCAAGCCAGAAGGACCAGAAGTCCTCAGGTGGGGATGGAGAGGCAGATGCTGCGGGAAATCTGAAAACAAGAGCACCTCTCTTTGGTGCGATATTCTGGTAGCTTGTTTCTGCCGACTGGCCCCAGAGATGACCAGTGAGTGAGCTTCTCTGTGGGTTTACAGGTATTGATTTTTTTTTTTTTTTTTCCGTCAGCAACCTCTTTGGCTTTGTTGATTTGTGTACTCATTCTCAGAGGCCACCAATGCCCTTTCGGAAGCCTTGTGATTGAAGCATACAAAGAATGCTGACTATGGGGCCAGACTCCACTCTATCTGGACTCTCAGGACAAGAAGAGACCTTACGGGACAGCGATACAGCAAGTGGTTAAAAGCATAAATGCTGGAGACAAGCAGCCTATCTATATTCAAATTCCTACTAGCTGTGTGACCTTGAACAAATTACTTAACCTCTCTGTACCTCAGTTTCCTCATCAATAAGAGAGTTAACAATAGCATCCACCTTATTGAAGATTTAAAAAAAAATTGATATAAAGTAAGTGCTATAGTAGTGTTAGCAATTATTGTTATTCAGCCCCCCACCTGTAGGGTTTTTGATAACTGTCACTTTTCAGCAAACACCTGCCTACATACCAGTGTGGGCATTTCTGCTTGAAGCGTTCAGGTAATAGACTAAAACCAACTCCCCAGATAGTTCATTGCACAAATCCTTTTAGAAGGTTTATCCTAACATTGAGCCAAAAACTTACTTCATTTTCTTTCTACCCATTGTCCCAAGGCCACTAGCTCGTTACCTCCTCCCTGCAAAGGAGTGAAAATGGTTTTCATCACCCCTTTCTTTCCGTTTTCTAGGCTAAACCTTCACAGTTTCTGTGATGTTTCCTAAAGGTTGAAGCTTAAGGTTGAAGTTGCCTGGAGAAATACTCATGCAAAAGTCTCTTCCTTTTTCTTCTCAAAGATAGCAGAAGAAAGAGATAATCTGGAGGGCCTTTTGAGCCCACAGCCACTGCTGGTTCCACATTCCCTAACTCCTTTCAGAATAGAGCTCCAGGCAAGGTCATTTGCAGTTCCAAGTCTCAGGTAAATACCCTCCTTCTAGTTGCCTCTCAGCCCTGTTGCTCAGTGAGATCACCAAAGCTCTGTGGACTCCCAGGTCCTTGATGATCTTGCAAATCCACTGAACTGTGATCTCTGGGGAGCTTCTGAGGCCCAGGCAACCTGGACTGTGGCCTTTGTCTTCCCAGTTTCTTCCGGAATTGGCTCATCTAGGGATTCTGCCCATAGAAATTCCCCATAGAGGGAGAGGCAATTAGCAAAAGGAAAACATCTAAAAATAGCCCTTCATGCTGCAAGCAGAGGCAGAGAGTTTTCCAGTAGAGCTCTCCTGTTCTGGAACCCAGTGCCTAGAACTGTTTCTTTATTTGACAGAAATGCTGTTCCTTGAAATGTAGCAAAGGGATAGGATAAGGCCTTGGTTCCCACAAGGAACTTGAGCAGAGTGAGCAGGTTCATGTGTGATTTTAAAATGCACATGACGTCCAGAGCATCAATTTTCATATTTATTATGAGCCTCTCTACCTTCCTGGCAAGGCTACTGCAAAGATTCAGTGAGGTAGAACATATGAAAGTGTTTTGACTATTCTATTATCTTTGCAAGACCAGGTTCTATCACTAAATGACCTGGGTTCTAGGTGCTCCTTAATGGTCTAACATAGTGGCTCTTCTATTCGATTATGGGAAGAATTTATGTGTGAATCTTTCCTCTCCTCAGTAGAACTGCAAACTCTTAGAAGGCAAGACAGGAAAGCCAACTCTGTTACAATTAATATTCAAATGGCCTGCTTCTGTCTTGTTTAAATGGCTCTCACAGTGATTCTTACAGTGAAGCATATTCATCACGAAGAAAATGGATCATCACAGTATTTGGGAAAAAAGACAATCAAACTGGGGATCGCATTTATAGATTCTTGTCCATTATAGAACGCTCAGAATCTATCGCAGATGAAACCAAAGAGAGCACATAACATTTTAATGTAAATATTTTCCTATCATATATTATTGACATTTGATCAAAGTAGGTATAAAAGGGAATGGATCACTGGAGTTTTATTACTGAGACTCAGTTTAAAAAAAATAATAAAGTTTCTTCCTCTTATCAGGACTTTGATATACATGCTTGTTAAAGCAACTCCTAACGTAATATCAGGTTCCAGTTAGGCACATAGATAGAATCTTTATAAAGTATATTGGGCAGTACTTAACTCATTTCTACAAGTACCATAACATCCCAAAACAGGACAAAACAAAACAGAGAATCGTAGCCAGGAGCACAATGGATGGAAGGAAAGTGACACATTCTAGGTTAAGCAAAACTGCCAAACTTTCTGCTACGTAATATTACATAAGAATCTAATTTTTACTCGCAATTATATATTTTTATTTTAAATTCAAGATACATTATTACACAATGACTAAATTTTAAATTATATTATCTGCTTCTAATTAGGATTTTTAAAGTTAAACATTCTCTCTATTTTCTTATTGACTTTGGGCCAACTCTGCCAAGGGATTCACCAGTGTGGTTTCAAAATGAAACAATTTATCACTTTCTGGGCGCCTGGGTGGCTCAGTGGGTTAAGCCTCTGCCTTTAGCTCAGGTCATGATCTCAGGGTCCTGGGATCGAGCCCCGCATCGGGCTCTCTGCTCAGCAGGGAGCCTGCTTCCTCCTCTCTCTCTGCCTGCCTCTCTGCCTACTCGTGATCTCTCTCTGTCAAATAAATAAATAAAATCTTTAATAAAAAATTTATCACTTTCTGAGAAGGATTGGAAAATCTGATACATAATGATAGGTGAACTTGTTTAAATTCTTAGAATCTAAATTTTTCCTTTGCCTGGTTACTTACTCAGTTTGAAGGAGTTTATAACTGTATGAGGTAGTTCTGAGATTTTTAAGTGGTGATTTATCTGAAATATTTTTGTTCATATTAAATAGGAATCTATTGACTCTTGGCTTCAGCTGTGTAATTAATCAGTATATTTATCCTCTTGGAAGCCCACACTGAATCTGTAATAACATATTCAGAATTTTGTCAGGCCTCCAAAATTTTAATGAGTATACTAATGGCAAAATGTCTTTTGAATGGAAAGCAACTTTATTTCCACAGAGAAACCAAGACAAAAAGTAAAAAATAAAGACCAGTATGATAGCTAACATAGTATCTTAGTTCGGTGTTATAGGTACAGTCTAGTAACTGCCAGGGTAAAAACCAGGCCTGTATTTCATGTCTTAGAAATACGTTTAAATCCAATTTTGATAGGCAATTACCATAAGCTAAATGTTTTCATCCCCACTCCCTAAATTCACATGTTGAAAATCTAACCCCCAAGATATTGGGAAATGGAAGGTTTGGGGAGGCTTTACCACCATGCATGGGATTAGTGTCCTTATGAAAGAACCTTAGGGAGCTCCCTCTCCCTTTTCACCATGTGAGGACATAGTAAGAAGATAGCCATTTGTGTGCTAAGATTTAGGTCTTCACCAGACAGCAGATGCTGGTGAACTTGATCTTGGACTTCCCAGCCTCCAGAACTGTGAGAAATAAATGTTTGTCATTTAAGTCACCTAGTATATGGTATTTTCTTGTTAGAACCAACCTTATTAGATAATGTGGCAAAACCAGTCACTAGCAGCTAGCTTACCTAATTTATGACATACATTAACCATTTTTAAAAAGACCACATTCATGGGGTTTTTATTTGCATTATCTTCTTCCTCTTTCTTTTTTTTTTTATTCTTCTTCTCCTAACTTTTATTTTGAAATAAATCTAGACTTCTAGTAAAGTTGCAAAATAGTAGAGTTCATGTATACTCGTCACCCAACCTTTAATGTTAAAAACTCACACAGCCAGGGTACAATTATCACAGCTAGTAATCTCACACTGGTTCTATGCTATTAAATAAACTGCAAAATTTTGAAATTTCACCAAGTGCTTTGTTTTGTTTTGTTTTTCCCTAATACCCCTTTTCTGTTCCAGAATCCAACTTGGATCACTTTGCATTTAATGTGTCTTATTTGTCTCCTTCCATTTATGACTGTCTCTCAGCCTCTCCTTGCCTTTCAGGACTTTGACACTTCTAATTAATACTAGTCAAATATTTTGTGGGATTTCATTC